TTTTAGCCGAATGTACTCTTTTTTTCACCCCCCTTTTTATTCATGAAGTCAGTTTCACAAACTCTAAAACTGCATAATAACTTTTGTTCAGGGCTTCAAAAAATGTTTTTTTCTTTTCTACTTTTTGGGAAGAAACAGTTTGCGCGGATCTCGCGGTGCACATACAAAGGTTAGAATCCGTAAAAGTACTCATTATTTTTTTTATTAAATGTTAATTTTAATTTTTTAATTTTAAAATTTACATAATTTTTATTTATTATCGTTTTATGCATTTTTTTAAGCTTTTGGATTCTGGAAAATAGATTTTTTAAATTATTTATCAATAATTTTATTAAATTTATCTAAATATATATATTTTTAATTTTTTAATTTTAAATTAAGAAATAAAAAATACATATATTAAAAATTAAAAGATTAAAAATATATAAATTTAAATAAATTTAAAGTATTAATTGATCGAAGGATTAAAAAATATATTTTTATAATTAAGGAACAAAAAAATATAAAAAAAATTAAGAGATAAAAATTACATAAAACCTTAAAATTAAAAGACTAAAATTGATTTTTAACTTTTTTTTTTTTTTCACCAATTGCCCTGACGATTGCCTTGACTTGAAGTCAATGCAGGGGAGATGTCGAAACTTCACCAGATTGGAAGCGAGGGACGAAGATGATTTCGGTCGACAGGGGCAAAATAGTCCTTGCGACAGAAAATTTTAATTTTTGTGTTGCTCTATCAATTTCCTGTATCAGCAGTTGGCCTCACTGCATTGTTGCCATTGCCAATAATTCAACACATCCCACAAAAAACGGCTCTCTAATCATGTGGTATTGGGTCCTAGGTTAAGCTGCTCATTTTCAGTGGGTTATACGTTTTGAGTCTTATGAAATTTTTTTCCTTTCTCCCTCAATTAACTCTATAAATAATTACAAATTATTTACAAAAAAAAAAAAAAACATCCCACAAACCCGATTATCTTGTCTTATGGCTTTTGCCTTTTTATAATTTCATAATAATATATTAAATTTTGCATGAAAATAAACAAACTTTATATTTTAGTAAAATTTGGCTTCTTTAAATGAAAATGCATATGCGCAATTGTAAGAGCACAGCTTTTCACCTCTCTTTTCATTTCCTCTCAAATCAACGCTACTTTTAGGAGAATTAACTTTTTATTTAATAATTTAGTTATATAATTTAATTTATGTTAAATTAAATTATAAAAATTAATTTTAGTTCTATTTAATATAATTATAGTTGAGTTTTTAGTTTTAATTTTAAAAAAATTTAAAATTTTAAAATAATATTAAAT